GTGGTTACTGGTCCAAAATCACTAATCTAAAATTGTTAATAAAGATGAAGAGTTGCTCTTACAGATAACATTTTTAGTTTTTAGAAACAGCTTCATTTTTTTGCTTGAAACAGCGATTGAAATTTAGTGACACTTTAGGTGGCCCACCCTGTATATCCTGAACAGATAATTAGAAAAAGGTAAATAGTGTAGTCCGCTGTAATGTAAACGCCGCTCATGCACCGGTTTGTATGACGCGGCTTCTGACCACCAACGAGTGACCTTTTCACCTAAAAGACGCAAACCTAATTCTAATCACTGAATGAGTTTGCAAACCGCAAAAAAACGATAAGGAGGGAAAAGTGAAAGACTTTTTGGGGCAAGTTAATTGAGCGTTATGCTGAGATAACACCCTGACAACAGAATAACTGCAAATTAAAAGCATACTGCAACTTTGCCCCGGCCCTAAGTTTGAACTAGACCAGTGTTGCTAGGAAAAGGTTAGTGCAAATACGCATAAATGCGCGCATTATTTTGCTTTCGTCAAACATTTCAAGATCAAAAGATGTGTGCCACGTTAAAACAACTGGAAGAAGAGGGAAAACCTGAAAAGATTATGAGGAAAAGCAAAAAGTAGAGATTGCGGCAGTGCAGAGGTCATTCGTTAAATGTCATTGCCAACCGCGATGTGAAACGTCAGGACGACGACGTAGTCGAGTGCTCAGTGGAGTGTGGCCAATTGCCGGAATTAATTAGCACCACTTAAGAGAAAGAAAGAAAGAGGCACATCTGGCAAAATGGCTTCTGTCTGGACCGACTGTCTGGCTGTCAATTCGGCACAGAAAGAGAGGGGAACTGCTTAATGGAAAGAAATTCCACTTGTCAATCTGTTGCCATTCGGCAATGCATTTTAATAGAATCCTGCAGAACAGGAGAGCGAGCAAGAGACCGACTCATCTTTAGCTTCATCCTTATGCAGCCGTTGCTTTTTCAGCCGATTCAGCAGAATTTAAATCAATCGGCAGGAATTGAAATTAATTCGCCACAACTTGGTCGCCCTCCAAAGGGCGTCAGAGAGCGGTCCTACTGTTCTCCTTCTGTAAGCAATTACGCAGCCACCTCCGATTTGGTTTGGGTCTCCCTATGTCTCCCTCACCCAAAACGAATATCATCCGTTATCATCCGCAACCGCAACAAGCACTCTACAAGCTGTGCACAGCTGCAGACTGCTCAAGTGTTTTAGTGGCGGCGGTGGCGGAGGCGGCAGTCGACCTAAGCAATTTTTAGAGTTGGCAATTTTCAAATCAATTAATCTTCATATCGACTGGCTAATAAATCAGACGTCAGCAGAGAGATAAGTTGTTTAATTTTAAATTGTGACACACCACCATTGAGGAACTCTAACTAGATGTTCAGACTGCTACCACTACATTGGAAAGCAAAACATATTTCAGTTTCCGTTTATACTTGAAATTGGATTCAAACGATTCAGACGATTCAGTCGCTCTTGAGGGTTGGTGCAACAGTAGTGGAGAGTCGCATATCACAAACGAAGGTAGTCAAAATGAAAAGAGAAAGGAGATTTATCACTTTTGGTGCCTGGTCGACGATGGTTGTAATACGATCGCACTGGTTTGAATTCCCCTCGACGAATCTAATAATGCAGTCGTTGAATTATAGATAAAGAAAACCTGAAATTGAGCAGAACAGAGAAGAGAGAAAGGGGGGAAAAGGAAGAGAATGGGGAAGACGAAAAAACAAATTGCAAAACTCTAAAATTTTGGCATACACGGTCACAACCTAATGGGAAATGAAAAAAGACATTTTTGTACTTCAGATGACATTTCCAATTATAAATACACAAAAAGCAGTATCACCAAATCGCAGTCTAGTTCATATTGTGGTCATTTCACTTTATTGCAAAACATCTTTTTGATATTATTTTTAATATTAGTCCCGATTTTTTCATTTTAAAAAAACCGTTAGAAGCAATATTATTATTATTTTGAAAAGCGCTTAGAGCCATTGTTTAAACTTTTGACTTTTGTACCAATCGTTTGCCATTCTTGCTCTGATCAGCTCTACCCCAGACATAAGAAAGAAAAATGGCTGCAACTTTAATTGCAGTTGAAGAAAGAATAGGAATTTACTAATGTCACGTAGCGTGTTTGTGAGCGAATAAGGAAAAAAGAATGCGTACAAAGTTCAGCTTTGATTGCAGTCAGATAAACTGCAATAACTGACTGTCTGAGTGTGTGTGTGTGTGTGTGTGTGTGGCAGTACTGATGATGAACAAATGTGCAATGATTACGCAGCGCACACAAAGCCATTTCGGATACAAATGTGCGTAGGGCAAAAAATGATTAGATGGCTACGACCAAACAACAAGAAAATGAAACAAATTGGACAGACATCATCGCTGCAAGTTTTACCGATTTCCAGCGTGGCGTAATGAGCAGACAGCCCAAAACTGACTGACTGATCCAAATAAAAAAATGTAACAAGCAGAAAACATTTGCTGTGCCAAATACGGCGATAAAGTTAATAAGTTTTGTATTTTAATGAAACTGACTGTTTTGAAGATGAAACGAGTCAGTTTGATAGGTAAAGCAGAGTTGCCAGTGACTTTAGGTTTGCAGCGAATATTGGTCAAAAGTTATCGCGACTTTGCAGAAACCAATTCCACAGTGTAGTTATCGAATTGCAAATCAATTTTAGCTGGGTACTTGACCACCAGTTCGCCCTCAACAGTTTCCACAACTACCGGTTCAATCAGTAAGGAGCCAGCGGTGCCATCTTGTTGTGCCGGCACAATCGTCTCCATAGTCGTCGTCCCGGATTCCTCCTCTGAGGATTCCGCTTCAATCAAGAGGAACTGCTTGATCAGTTCGTTCATAACTTCACGACAGACGGGCACACTCAGGCCGGTAACCTCCACAAAAACGTCAGTGGTATTTGCAGCGATCTGTAAATAAATGAAGAAAATGCTTAAAAACTTGATAAACGGTAATAATAGTTACCTTTGTATAGTCAGCATTGGTCAGCGGCGGCAGGGAGATAACCTTCTCTTTAGTGTAGTCCAACAGCACCGGGTACAGCGCTTTGCCTTTCAGCAAGTGCAGGTACTTGTGAACACCGGAAATGGTGTTTCGCTTCTTCTCCTTACGGTACGCATCCGCTTCCTCATTCAGTGTACGGTACATCTCCATTGCGGTCATCTCGGTGGCTCGTCCGAGTGGTTGCAGTCGAATCTTTGTTGGTACGCGACCATCAAAGTAGGCGACCCTCGGCTGCTCAGAAGGAGGCTGAACAGCAGCAGGTTTGCCAGCTGTAGCCAGTGTTGAGGCAAATGTAATGGGAGGCGGAAGAATCTTTGATAGGTCGTGCGTCGCAATGGTCGCCTTCTGTCGGTTATCACAAATTCCCTGGTGCAGTTCTGTCAAAAACAAAATAAAAGTGGTTAGTAAGCAGTACACTAAATAAAAAGAAACCGCAGCTTACTCGTTTGAACTTGAATAAACTTCTTCATCACTTTTGGATTTGTCAAATCGATGTTGTGGAGGATGCAAGCAACAATTTTCCTCTGCTGAAGTATTTGCTTGGTGACAATCACCTTGAAAACATCTGGACGTTGCTGGACGTGAATCGATTTGGTCGCCTTGAAGTCCACCTCTAGAGCGTCATCTTCCTCACTTTTATTTGTTTTTGCTTCAGATGCTGCCTTTTCATCTTGCTCTTTAACTTCCTTACTTGCAGGGACATTCGCTCGAATGTAGTCTAGCACCTTCTTGGTTGGGCATTGGTCAATAAGTTTATACAGTCGCCTATCTTTAACTGGGTTATCCTGCAAATATTAAACAATTAGATGATTTTGAGACAAAAGCTTGTAGAAGACCAACCTTTAAATGCAACTGAGCCAACTTGGGACAATCTGCAATTTCCTTAGGTATCAGAACAATCTTGTTGTCGCTCAAATCAAGTGTCTTTAAAACTACCAAACGTCGAATAGAGCTGGGAATAGATTCCACCTGATTGTGGCTGCCAATCAGTTCGCTCAGGTGAACTGCACCACCACCGTAAATTGGCACTGGTGAGTGTTGGCTTTCGAGTTCCTTTTTGTAGATTTTGTCGCACAGGCTAGAGGGAAATTGCTTTATCTGGTTTGAGCCAAACTTGAAGCTTAGCAGTCCGACCAGACCGGACATGTCAGGCAGTGTCTCCAGTTGATTCTGCTCCACATTTAGCGCCTGTAGGCTGGAAAGCTTGGCGAACAATCCTTCTGGCAGCTGCGTCAGTGCGTTTCGAGAGAGATCAAGTGTCTTTAGTTTGTGCAAGTTTCCAATCTCATCTAAAAGATAAAAATTACTATCTTGAACAAAACATTAAAATCAGAAGCTTACCAGGTATTGAAGGTAGCTTATTTCCTTGAAGAACCAAATTGGTAAGATTACCATGCAGCTTTCCGATGCTAGGAGAGATCGACTTTAGCGTTGTCACTTGGGTGATATCTAAAAAGTTGAGGCTCCTAATGCCGAAAATGAGCTCATTCAGCTGACCCCCTTCATCTTCTAGTTGCTGAGATATCTTCTCGCCAGTGAGGACAATTTCACAGGGCTTCTGGCGAGCCAACTCCCTCCAGTTCATCGTGGCCATCTCTTACCAGATTGATGAACCTTTTTCTGGTGATTCTTCTTTACCTAACCGAAGGTACGGTGACTCTTTGACACACTCAACCCGAATCTACCGCCAAATCTAGCGGCCTGAATGTTGACACGCCTCTGGTGACGTGACGAAGATGAACAAACGTTGGGCAAACGGCAACGCCAACTGAACGGAATGCCAAAACACAGAAAAACGTGCACACTTTATTTTTTTGCAATATATGGGCTATTCGCAGAGGACGTTTACCCGGGCTGCTTCAGAAGCTGCCGATTTGTTTTTGGCGCCCAATTTTGCTTTGTGGTTTACTGTTTTTTAGTTTTTAACTTTAAAATCAACACCTGTGGATAACAATATCTGTCTGATAATGTTCTTAATACAAAGGTGAGTGAACTTTTTGAACCTGTCCGATTTGCCGCTTATACTCAAACGCGAACAAACTTGTTTTATCGCGCACTGATCTTTTGACCTCTTTCCCTTCGGGTTGATGGACCAGCTTGACAGTACGTACTGTAGTATTTGGGACACCTCGTGACTGGTGGGTGACCAGTGCCTCCACTGAAATGTGACTCATCCTTCAAGACTAGCGATAGTACTCAAAGAGTGGGCAGGGGCGCGTAGGCGTGATGCGCCCAAGAGCTGGTGCGTTGCCCACTCTTATGAATGATGATGATGATGGCCGTAGTTAACGAATATTCACTGCCTCTAATGAGGCAGGGCTGGCAATCAANTTTTGACCTCTTTCCCTTCGGGTTGATGGACCAGCTTGACAGTACGTACTGTAGTATTTGGGACACCTCGTGACTGGTGGGTGACCAGTGCCTCCACTGAAATGTGACTCATCCTTCAAGGCCAGCGATAGTACTCAAAGAGTGGGCAGGGGCGCGTAGGTGTGATGCGCCCAAGAGCTGGTGCATTGCCCACTCTTATGAATGATGATGATGATGATGATGGCCGTAGTTAACGAATATTCACTGCCTCTAATGAGGCAGGGCTGGCAATCAACAGCAGTCTTTTTATTGCCGAATTTGCTATCAGTCCGTTTGTTAGTTGGTGGTGGTAGTAGTCGTGGTTTGGGTAGGGTGTCAAAAGGAGGACAATAAATAAATAAATAAGAGGAGAAGGGGAACATGACGAGATGCATCAGCATCAGTGCAAGTCAGTACAAGTTCGGGCCTGTGCTTTGTGCTTTGTGTGTGGGAAGCGGTGGTGCGTCTTACTTTTTCCTGCATCTCCAGTGTCAGTGACTGACTGAATGACAGCGCATACAACGTCTGTCTTTGCTGTCTGTTGTTGGCACGGTATAATCAGCAGGGGGTATCATTACCTACCACCACCACCAGCACTATCATCATCTCAGGCAATGTCACTGACATTGATGAGCATTGCCTTGCAGACGGCGGCGTCCATGGCGCGGAAGCCCGCCGAGCGGCACACCTCAAATAGGTTGTTTAGAACGTAGGTGACCACCGCCCGCTCAAAGTCCGCCAGGCCGTACTGAAGTGCCAGCTGGTAGAGGAGGCAGCAGTTCTCGGCGGAGAGGCTGTGCCGGAGGATGTTGCAGCACTTGGCTTTCAGGTCGTCCTCCAGGTAGCAGTTGGCGAGGTCGAGCAGCTCCACCGCCTCCTCGGTGCTCACCTCGATGCAGTCCGTGTAGATGTAGCGCAAGTAGGCGAGGTACGTCGGGTAGGAGTAGTCCTCAATGCAGATGGTGCTCGTCTCCGGGGTGCACCACGCCTCGGAGAGCATCCGCTCGAAGTACTTCGAGGAGATCTTCAGGAACCACCGGTGCACGTGAATCGGCCTGCCCTCCACGAGGAAGGTCAGGTCGGAGGACTTTGGGTCGTCGAAGGAGCGCGCCAGCTTCTCGACGATGCGATTGATGGGGCGAACTGACTCGTCGCTGACCTGCACCAAACTGCCGGTGCACTTCCGTTTCGAGTAGATGGCAAAGGCGTCCGTCAGGCAGCGAAGTGGCGTCTGTCGGGGCAGCATCTCCGGCCCGGAGCCCACCTGTTCATTGGGGGCGGCCAGCTCGCCCCAGACGAAGACGAAGCCACACTGGGAAAGGGCAGTGCTGAGGTTCGAGGCAAAGTCGGCGGCGATGGCTTTGAAGCGAGTGCTGCTGCAGCTCACTTTGACCGGACTGCAGGCGCCATCACTAGCCGGCACCGAGGGGCTGCCCAGTTCGCCCTCTCGATTCCGTCCCATGGCCCAGATTTCGCCGGTGGAGCTGAGCAGGAGACTGTGGTTCATGCCAGCGGCTATGGCTTTGATGGTGATGCTGTTGCTGCTGCTGTTGCTGCTGTTGCTACTGCTGACATTTGTTGAGCTCTTCTGTCCTACTTTGACCTGCACCGGAGTCGTCTGGTGGCTGCAGTTGCCATTGCCCAGTTGACCTGATTGTTTGCGGGGGCGTAGTGAGCTAATGTTGGTTACATTGTCTACAAAACATTACCTTGAGAGTTGTTGCCCCACGCCCATACTGAGCCATCTGAGGTGAGTGCCAGAGAGTGCGAACTGCCGCAGGCAATGGCCGTCACGTAGTGCGACTCCAGTTCAGTCACCTTCATGGGAATCATTTGATTGTGGTTTGTTCCATTGCCAATTTGGCCGTAGTTGTTGCGACCAAAGCTGATGGTTTTCAATAGAGGATCAAGATTACAAACAAATAAACAAACGCATCTTTTACTAAAAGTACCTGAAAATTTGCCCTGAACTGGTCAGAGTGAGGGTGTGATTGGCACCACAGGCGACGGCGACAATGTGCCGTCCGACGAGCGTCGGCTTCAGCGACTCGAAGGTGTTGGTAGTGCCCGTTTGGCCGAAACTGTTATCGCCCCAGGAGAAGACCTCATTGCTGGCGGTCAGCGCGATGACGTGCTTTGCGCCGGCCACCAGTGACACCACCTGCTTGGACCGGAGTTCCACAATCTCCGTCGGCTCAGTCACCTCCTCGCCCTTGTGGCCCAGGGCGAGGCAGCCATGTCGGTTGAGGCCGAATCCCCAGACAGTGCCGTCCTTGAGGATGAGCAGCACCTCGGTGCCGCCGCTGTCGCCAAAGACGGTGAAGGAGGCGATCCGGGAGAGAAACTGTGGCTTCATTCGGTGCAGCACGTACCAGTTGGTGATGCTCGTCACTTGCTGGCTGATCATCCTGATCTGTCTTTGCCTGGGCTGAACTTATAAGGATGCTGCTGTTGACGGTGGCGGAAGAAAAATAGGACGCCTGTTGGAGGAAAGTGTGTGGTCTGTTTTGGTGGTGAACAGTTTGGTAGTGTAGTGTACAAAGAAAGCCATACACAGATATGTACACCACACACCAGACGCTAACTGACAGAAAGGGAGAGAGAGAGAAAGAGCAGACACGATCAGTGGAAAGATTGGGAGGGGAGATTAAAGTGCCAGTGTTCGATAACTACTGCGTGGCGTATGTCAATCTCCTCTTCGTATGTTAGTGCTTTAGATAGCCTGTAGTGAACTTTGATTAAGGGCATTACAAACAGACAAGTTGAGTATGAATAAATCTGAATGATTGGAAGAAAGAAAGTAAAAGCGAGCTTTTTCAGATGACCGATGCAAATCGGGAAATGGCAGGCAAAACAGTGGAAAAGTAAATTTTAGAGAAAAACAGTGCAGTTGTCACAAGTTCACCTGAAACCTTCAGTTCTAAAAACATTAGTTGAACACAAGGCAAGAACAAACTCATACTCTGCCATACGCGTAACTCGATATCGATCAAGTGTTTGCAATGAAGTAATGACATTACCCAGTTAGCTCACAGTTGAGCTGGTCGTGACGCACGCGATGCTCAAGTAGGTAAACGCTGGTACTATTTACTGGTGCTATTTTTAAAATTAAAGTAAGTTCAAGTTGATTTTGATGTTGGTGTGTATGCGTAAAAATAAAATCACTGTCAAAATCGACGAGGATGGTCACAGTTGAGTGTTTGTGAATGAATGTTTTTTTCTAGTTGCAGTGCACTGATCACTGGTTGGCGAATTGAAAAAAGAAGACAGGTTGAGAAGACAGTTCAGTCAATTGGACAGACGACCGGCAACCGTTTGACCGACAGTTTACTACTCTCTGATCGTTCGCGCCAACTGCACTCAACTCTACCTCCCAATTTGAGGTCGTTTCTTCCTTCTTCTGCTCTTCTCATCAACTGTATCAGGTGGTAGGCAGCCGAAGCTACCATCACTACCAACAGCAGCAGTGTGTGTTGTGCTTCCTCCTTTTTTTGTGAAGCAGTAACAAACTAAAGTTCAAGTTCGCCCACACAGACTGCAAACCAATGTGTGTGTGTGCGTCGCCGTCTTCCTACCTGTCACAATTATAATTGTGCACTGTTTGGTTGCCCCACTCTACGCTACCTGTTGCTTCACACGAGTTGGCACTATTCACTTTTTTTGCAAACACCTTGTTTTTAGATTGGTAAATTCTTCAAACCCTTTTGAAATAGCTTAAATATTAATAAATTAGTAAAATTTTTGCAATTTTTAAAACAATTGGCGTTTATTAGGGAATGAGATTTGATTTTTCTCTCACTCTGAAAATTTTTTTTGTTAGAGTTTTTTATTGAGCTAAACCGATTTGAACCGGTTCGATATTGTTTGCTCACTCCAACTGCCATTGCTTACAAATGGAGACTAATCATGAAAAAAATGCTAAATGACTGGAAACTATGCTTGGCAATTAGGCAATGACTCGAATTAATTTAATTAATAAGACTTGCAAACAAAGAGATTGAAAGGGGAAAACTGTACAAAAGAAAAACAAAAGAAGTACATACTCACAAAAGAGGTACCGACAACAACAACAACAACAACAACAAACAACCCAAATTCACCTTCATCATCCTCGTAATCATCATAATCATCATCATTATCGATCGGTGGTAATAACACAATAAACGAGAAGGGTTTGATATGCGGCAATGATTAGATAGACATTTTGATACATTTAAATTAGAAAACTTCTAGCTAAAGCTTACT